AGGTTGAATGCGATTCGGTTGTGCTGATGATCTCCAGACAGATCCTGATCTTCTAGGAATATCGGTGGTTGAGCTGTTCAATCTATCATCCCCTACATGAGACTGACGTGTTCGCTTCTTCGAAAAGTGTTTAGAGACTCCTTTGCCTTTACTTTTTGACTTCACTTTATCTCCCTTACTGGCATCCAACTCCAGTTCGGCCGCTTCTCGAACTAAATCAAAATCATGAAGCCAGGCATATCCAGCAACACTGAGCTTTCGAAAACGCATAACATTATCGGTCAATGTACCCGTCTTATCGGAAAACACATAACTAATCTGACCCAGATTTTCGAGAATCGTAGACGTATTTGAAACCATTGGAGTATTCGATACGGGATCATACATCTCGACATCATGCATGAGAAGTAATTGTCCAACCTTGATGATCTCCAAACTAACATATAGCGAGAGTGGAATCAATGTATTGAACAGGATAATAAATGCAACAATCGAGTAGCTGAATTTGAAATGCGCTCCTGTCAAATACCAAGAATTATTCTCGACATTCTGGGACCATACTTGGTATGCAATTGTACAAAACAAAGCAAGGATAATGACAAATATGACGAGAATAATGACAATATTGTTTGCAATCTTTTGCATCTCGGGTGCTTTCGTTCGGGGATTTTTATTGGCGTTCATTCTAATTTTGCACTCTTCGCCCGTGTTAAGGATCATACCAATGGCATTAGGTGTATTCCTTAAAATGCTTCCTCGGAAGACAATCTCATTGGTTGTAAGTGGTAAGGTCTCGCCATCAATAGTAACTCTTCCATCAAAATTATACAAATCCAGATTAGGATCCTCAATCACAACGTGAGCTCGACAATCGACCAACTTCTCCACAGTTGAGCATTTCTTCACCAAAGGAACCGGAGGTGATTTCGTCTTTAAATTTGTCTCACCATCCAATGCCATGGTTTCGATAAAAGCGATATTATTAGGTCCATCTGCATGTAAAAGGAGAATATCTGCAGGTACCGCTTCGTCCCGCTCAAGTTTTATAATGTCCCCGACTTTGAGGTACTTCCACTTCATCGTTGCCCAATGTCTTGGTCCAGAAGCAGTCGCTTCGATGTCGATCTCGTGCACCGTTTCGGGAGAATCAATACCCAAGCCCTTCTTGACCCTCTTTGATCGCGGACCTTTAGATCCGATATGAGATTTCTCATTGATATCTAGAGGTGCATGTGCGTTTAAAACCAATGTTTGATTGTTATTCTCAACTTGATCCAACTTGTACCGACGAACGTCATCATATCCCTCCTTGGCCATACTGATCATCACGAAAACTATAAGTGGAGCAATGGTGGTATAGCTTCCCGTAGGTGAAAGTCCAGGAACCATTTGAAGAATAGAAACAAGTAAAAAGTATGCATTTGCCAGCTTTGAAAATTGGAAGAAAAGCTGTCGGGGTACAAAATTCCATATTGTGTATCGACTAGAGCGAATAGTATTACCGATATATGCAACTCCAGTCCTCTCATCAATTAGCGGGGTCCCTCGCGGACGAGTAGCATCCAAATCAATATGTCGTCCATCTTTCGAAGGGGGTATTTCCCTTTGCCTAAGAATATCTTTCAATATCTTCTCTCTCCAAAACCATTGCGATTTCTTCTTCGCTTTCCGGACAATCGAATCGTCTCCCTTGACCTTGCGCACAAAGCGATCATAATTTGGTAGATCACTCGTCCCAAAAGCCTTCTTGTCCTTATATCTGGAGGTTCTACTCGAGCTCGTAGGCTGGGTACTCTCGCTTGGTGTCTCTTCAATCTCATCATGTACCGGACATACTGCCACCGAATTTTGTGTCTTCTTCCCCCCATTCTGTGAAGGTTCTGCTTCCGCAAGTTCGATATTCTCCGGCTCGGGTTCCGAATTGTTCAATCCCCGCGCAAATAAAGTCCGCCTCAGTGAATATCCTCTATCCCTCGTCCTCGGCGAAATTGGCGACAACCCTAAAATCTTCCTCCCTTGTCCTGATGTTGTTGATCTGCCATCTGCACCTGTTTCAGTGCCCGCTACCCTAGTATCGATACTCAAATTCGGAGTCGCAGGTCTCTGGCTAGAAGATTCGACAACAGTTCCTCGTTCTCGTTCTCGTTCTCGTTCTCGTTCTCGTTCTCGTTCTCGTTCTACATCCACCGAAAAGCGCACTCGATGATTCTCTTTATTTGTCGCTGAAGGTGCGGGGTCCATTATCGCAGGCGGGGCATTCGAATTGTCTGATGAGGTTATTTCATCGCAAGACGATGGACTCATACTTCTTGCTCCAATATCACCGGTCATGGTTCTGATTCATCTGTTGTTCCTCATCAATTTCAATATGTTACGAGAACTGCCTTCGTTTCCTTTTCAATCCGAATCTATTTATGCACCGCCTCTCCAGCCACCAGACAATAAAAAGTGCCCTAAAGTTACCAAGAATAAAGGTATAAATCAAGTGTAACCACAACTGCAATCAAGAATAACTTTGTGGAGCTTGTGCGAAGCAATCTGTATCTGCGAAGTACCTAGCACCGGTATGTATGTAGTTTTGCGAAACCTTGTGGAGGAAAGCCCAAGCTCAAGATTGAATAATAAACAAATGAACAAAACACAAAACACAGAATACAAATAACAATAACAATTATTGATTAATAGAAAAGAAGAAGAATGAGTGAGTGTGCACTGGTAAGTACCTACATTGGTTGATATTTCCAATCCCAATGTCTGGTGACCTTTAGGTAATGTGAATTGTCAAGAGATACCTACCTGGTACGAGTAGACAGTCACAAAAAACCTTGAAGTTGGTCAATTCTCCCGCCAAATCTAGCCCTTGAGGCTTGAGCCCGTTGCATCTCGTTTCGTTTCGTTTCGTTTCGTCATTGCTGATTGTTACACACTCCGTAGATCTTTTGGTGCTATCTTACTGGTCGGTACGTATGTACATGCCACTTCCCCTGCAGAATCTATGATGATAGAGAAGAGGCTCATCTATGTAGTCAGCTAAAAGAAAGGTTTTACGAGTACACACTAGGTATATGCATGCATGTACATCGTATAATATGAATTGTTGTCATCTTGGATGTAAATCTCATCTGTTAATATATCTATTCCGTATCAAGCCGGACTCTTCAAATCATTATTTTCAAAGAAAGATCCTTTATTCCTTCTTTAAAACTATATTTTATATCGATTCAATTTACACTCTAACGCTCCAATCCTCTACTAACATTTTAACATATATATAATATATATATCTAAAGAATTTATTTATTCACTTATCTATACATCTACTTATATATATATATTAATATATATTATAGTACTTCATATAGATTTTTTAAATTCGAAATGTTTTTTAAATCTGAAATGTATTTTTTAGATTTTTGAGTCTAATCTCTCAAATCTTTCAAATCTATTTAAATCCTAATTTCTAATTAAATTCTTATTATTTTAGATTAGATTTTATAGGAGAAGAATAGATTTTATAAGAAAAGAATATATTTTATAAAGAAATTAAAAAGTAAATTTCCAATTCAAAATCATTTCGAATTGAAAAATCAAAATCCGTATGAAATAATACATACATACCCGTGGACATATCTAATACTCTTCTCTACTCTTCTCTACTCATATCATCCATATCATTTATATCATTCATATTATTTATATTATTCATATCATTCATCCCATCCATCCAACCCAAAACCCATCTATAATCATACTCTTAACACCTATCTATTCATCTATATCTACATCCACTCATCCACTCATCCACCCATCCACTCACAAACCACTTACTCCCCAATTTTCCCAATTTTCCAAATTTTCCCAATATCCCCCAAATCCCCCAGATCCAGATCCAGATCCAGATCCAGATCCAGCATACATACCCAGAGCCTCCCTCATACATCCCACCCCCAACATCCCACCCCCAACATCCACACACCACAAGTTACCAAACCCCCAAGCTGAACAATCACTACCTCCAAAATCTCCAACTAGGTAATACATGGTCTAGAACAGTCAATAGTCGATGTAATAAAGATCAAAACCTAATATCCAAGCTAACAAAATACACTCTCAGACATATCACATCACACAAATCTCACACATCCATCACAAAGCATGCAGGGAAAAAACTCTCATCAAAACTCACACAAACTCACACATAAACACACCCATCATAAATATTAATTATATGCACATTTTTTTAACTTTACTACTCAAGCTCAAAAAAGAACAAGATTAAAAAAACGAAGAAAACGATTTTACAAAATAGATTTTTCCACTATTAAGCCCACCATGATTCATCAATCCATTGCTTTACGCACATGTGCGCCAGCCAGCAAAATAAAAAAGCACCAAAAGCAAAATTTGTAAACCCCCACACCATGTTGTTGTTTCCAGATTCAAATATCGCACGCTTTCCCCCCAAAGCTTTCCACCCGTCCATTTATATCTTCAATCCAACTACCACACAAAATCTCCATAAGAGAGTTAAGTAAAAACAGTAAAGATGAAGCTGATTAACAGACATCAAGTTCAAGAGAGAATGCGCAAGAGCAAAGATATCAATGAGAAAACGATCGCTGTACCAGACAGGCATGATAGAATTGGGTAAAGTCGTCATGCAAGTCGTGGCGTAAAAAGACAGAAGGAAATTTGGGAATATGAAATCAAGACTATGCTACAATGCCCAAAATAGCAAGTGCAAAGTCGAGAGAAGAATCGACATGAAATACCCAAAAATTCGAGACGGCCGTTGACACCTCCCCCTTTCCGTGCAAAATGAAAATCAACCCAACGCCACCCCCGAAAATCGCCCCAAACAATCTCTAAGCAAAAACACTTTCTGAAATGCAGACATTGATCATCTCAACCATCTGTGATTTCAAACTCATTTCCAATCAAGGTCCAGAGTAGCCTTTCAGGCTCTCGACCACTTCCAAAGTTCAAAAAGTTGATCTAATCTACTGAGGCATATGCTCAGGCGAAAGACCATCATGATCAACAGGGAATTGAACAAGATTACTCATGTCCATATCCGCCGCAGATTGTTCACCAAAAGCTGGGGAATGAGGATGCATAGGAATATTAAGGGTGTGCTTCTGATACATCTCATTGAGTCCGGTACCATCATCGGAGATCGCCGAATCATTATGCATACTGTAAACATCGGCAGAAGCACTTCGGTGCATCATTGACATTGGTGGAGATTGATCAACAATTGCTGGGTCTCCGTGACTCATAAAAGACAAAGGAGAAACGGATGGAGGAACAAGCGAAGAAGGATCAGGCGACAGGTAAGGCATCGAGTATGGCGTGAAGTTCGAAGCTGGCATTGAAGATGATGTTGGCATTGGTCCTGTCATAGGTCCATTGTCATTTTGGTGAGGGAAGAAGCCAGGGCTGGCATAATCCGATGGGGAAGTTGTTGTTGCTGCTGACATGGGATACTGTCTGAAATCCATTCCATAACCCGATGAGGTATCAATGCGTAGATTAGGTCCAAGAGGTCCGAGGTTGTTTGGTTGTTGAGGAATAGGAGCAAAGATATTGGGGTTTCCATGTTGGTGTTGATGTTGGTTTTCACCAGGGTGTTGAATGAGGAATGATGGCATTGGGTTGTTGAACATGGAGAAATCGACGGCCATTGGAACGGATCTACTCCTCTGTCTTCTGTGGCCAGGTCCACGCGCACTTGGATGAACACCAATACCCCATTGAGATTCTTGGAACATACCAACATGGGCTTGCGCATTGAAATTTGGCTGAGAAGACGGACGGAGACCAGTTGGAGATGCAGGTGCTGAGATGGATAATGGTTGTTGATGTGTGAATGGATTATCGCGTGTGATAAAAGACTCAAGGGAAACAAGCTTGGCCAATTGACCACTAAGAACCTTAGGGTGACCACCCAAATGATGAACCATGACTTGAGATGCTTGCTGGTCTTCTGTAAAATCACCACATTGGTAAAATCCACCCGATCCAGAAGAGTCCATGAAAAAGTTTGGCGCACGAATAAGTTCAACAACTAATCCACCGGGTCGCGACTCATTATCTCCATTTTCCAGGTAGATATTTTTGATTGACGAAAATGGATACTCAATTTTGTAACCAGCTTGATCGTTGTTGATGTAGTAAGTCATTGTTGACTTATCCGGCGAGTAGAAGATGATGAGATCCATGGCATTCTGACCGATTCGTCTCCAGGATCCAATACTCAGTGATCTACACGAAAGATGATGAATCACTATTCAATGTCAGCATAAGATCACAACATAATGAGATCTGTAGTTCTACTTACCAACTTTTCCTTGAGGGCCGTGATCACCACCCATGAGCATGTTGCCACTACCATAGGGCATAAGTCCACCTCGGCCCAAGAAGTTACCACCCAGTGACTTTCCTGATTCCATCTCCTGAATCGCAAGGTATTGGCGCATGGTTTCTGGAATTTCACAAGTCTCTCCAGTCTCGATACTCTTCTTTGCCATGAGCTTGATCTTTGCACGTCTGCGAAAGGCTATTAGACTATGCGATGCTTGTTTAGTGTATGAAAATAACTGACCTGTTTTGGAACCAGATTTGAACAGAACGTTCAGTCATGGTGATATCCTCCGCGATTCTCTCTCTAACTGTGGCGGTAGGTGTTGGATTTTTGTTGAATTCCATTTCCAAAGTGACCAATTGATCTTGTGTAGCTCTCTGTCTCTTCTGGTTCTTTTGTTGTTGTGTTAATGTGCTCTTGCGCGGAGGTCTGCGGGAAGCCGAGCTACTTCCAGCCGAGTTCGACGCGGTAGGAGAGGGTGTTGAGAGCATCTTGAGAGCATCTTCTTGCGACATGTCCGACATCTTTATTAAGTTGTTAGGACCGTAGTCAATTACTTTCTATGTTCCTAGTAGTTCAATCTTCCTCCAATGTTTGTATTGTGTAGTATATGACAAGCTGTTGTCCTTGGTTGCACGAGTCTCTGTGATCGTCGAGATGCTATGTGCTTTGTATGCACAGGTTGTTGTTTTTCTGCGTCGAAACCTAAGGGAGAGTAAATAAAAGGGTCTTTGAGTAAATCCAAACTTTGACAAAGATGGATATATTTCAAAACAAATGCTTCGCTGAATCTTGCAGGAAATGTTGTATTGTATTGTAATGTATGGTATAGATTTGAATAGATTCTCAAGAGATTCGTAAATGAAGCGTCGTAGATTTGTGAAGAAAGAGTGTTAAAAGGGTCAAGATGACTCTTCTGTTTACTTTGTGGTTGAATGTAAAGACTGGAAGTGTGAAGTTCGAATCGAAGGAGTGTTCAAGTCAACAACGACTTTATTCTTTTCTCTACAGAAGAATTGTGAAGAGGTAGAATGTAAATGTGAATTTGACAACTGAGAATCCGAAGGAGTGTAATGGACCCGAAGAATCCGATTAAAAGAAAGACAAGAGGGAAAGGGGAGAAAATCACAAGGGGGGAAAAGAGTTTTGATAGAAGAGACGATGATGAAGTTGTTTTAAGAGAGAGGAAGATTCCACGATAGTGAAAGGGAATAAGACAAAAAAGAGGGAATGGGAAGGGGGAAAAGGCGAGCGGATCAGAGGTGTGGGTATAGTGAATAATAAATTTTAGCGTGGATAATGTAGTAGTGCGGTAGTGTGGGTGGTTTATGTGGTAGCGTGGTGTATTAAAAGTCATTTGGTCAACCGTCACCCACTGGACAAATTTATTCAATTATGACTGGCTCAACTCAAGTCTGACCAGTCAAAATACACTAAAATAGAGCTAATCCTTGAAACCATCCACCAATCCACAAACCCTCAAGTGAACTTGTGAAGCAAGCCAAAGTCCATTAAGTCCATGACTTACAAGTTACAAGCGGGCAAGCGAGGCAGGCAAGCAGACAAGCAAGCAGACAAGCAAGCAGACAAGCAAGCAAGCAAGATGTTGAGAACTTATAAGCATCTAGACAAAACAAGACAAAGATAAGCAGTAGCAGCAAGTATAGCAGTCGTAAACAAGAAAGAGTCTAACAAGAATCTAACCGACAATGGGTCGTTGGTAGACAGAACAGATACACGTGTGCTGCTAACAGTCTTTCTTCACAACCATCTACTTCGGATAACCTAGGCATTCTATTCACTCTCACTCTCACTCTCGAAATCCTAATTACCTAGGTACAATACTGACAATATTGTACGTACAGGATGAGGGAAAAAGAGAATCCCTAGGTAAGAGAAAGCGAGAGAGAGGGTCAAGGAGGGAATCAGAGAGAGTGAATGATTGGAAAAGAGCACCATCACGCGCTCCTGTTGACTCTCCATCTTGTCATTCTTTTCTATTCTAGACCTCTCCATCCAACTAAAACTACCTACCTAGGTAGGTAGGTACTCGAGTATTCCTCCCTGACAAGCACATCAACTCAACAACGCATACCAGACTGAATTTGCCAGTTCATACATCCAACGCATGTAGGTACCTTCATGTAGTCCATTGGCACAGTGGATGAGTGGGGATGAGGGGGGTGGTTCTCTCAAAAATAGTAATGCAGTAGTCTCAATTGATTATTGTTAGGTACCGACTTTCTACTTCTGTTATCCAATGCTATCTTTCCATCTACCCAGTTACTTTCTCGCGATCCATATACATACATGAACTCATGAATTAGTATAATCTATCTGACAAACGGTTGGACTATTATTTACCACATCGAGTAATGGAATACCGACGCCCATTACGAATGGCAGTTTGCCATTTTTGTGCACGATCTAAGGCATCAGACGGGCACCAAAACAGGACGGTATACCGGTACTAAACGAGGTGAATCTTTCGCTTTCTCTCCATCCAGGATTTGATAAACTCGATCCCTTGATCAGTGTATTCCTTTAGAAAATCATACCTCCCCCCCAAGATGCCTGTGCGTGGCCCAGCGATTTAGTCACCTACACCATAACCTACACCCATGCGAGCACGACCTGGATTGGAAAAAGATCCAAAAAGGGGGTAAAGAAGATCCATGTAAAATTGATTAGCGTCAGATGTACTTTCATGTAGAAGTACGCACGTATGCAAAATTTTATGTCCTATGTAAGTTATTCTTGCATTTTGTATGGCAAGAAGAATAATTCAAAGCTCCGCTGCTGCCATTGATGCACTACTCTACCCAAGTCCTCCGTAGAGTGGTGCACTACGACCAATCCATACACCAATCGTCGTGTAGTGGCTCTCGTCATCCTGGTCTTGTTCCGCTTCCTCCTCAAACATGGGTATACCATACCCCTGAATTGCGCTGTTGCAGATTCCGGACTTTTCAGGACCAGTCTCAATCCTCGTTGGTGGCTGGCAGCGAATCCAACCGCCGCATTTTCTTGTCTGGAATCATCTTTCTTCGGTCTTTGTACATACTTACGGTATGATTGTCGTTGGATAGACGGTGAATGCCCTGGAAAAAGACACCGGATGTGGGCGAATTGATATATCACTGCCAGTGGAGTGCCAACTTGGGGGTGGAGTCGCACAATGCTCTTACCTTTTATTTTTTTGAAGAGGATCCGTCTTCTGACTTTCTGGTACCGACCCTCTTCATCCGAGTCCATATGCATCTTTTCCGTACCAATCACCATGCACATCTTTTGCTGCACGTTACTCGATCACTTGTAACTATAACAACACATGCAATCAACCGACCGAGTCATGCAAAGTGTACAGTATAACGCAGTACACTGTACACCTCTTTTCCTGACAATGATGTGATGTGACAATGTTGCAAGTACATACACAAAAGTCACTCAGATACATGCTTCTCTACACAGTATATTGATGATGATGATGATGATGATGATGATGATGATGATGAAGTTGGGAAGAAGAGAATTATTTGTATTCGAAATCCAAGACTTTGCTTCTTTCCCCCCCTCGCAAAGAATTGAAACCATTCAGAGTTCCATCCATCGTCAACACAAATATCACCCCTGATTCCCTGAAAAACCTTACCTACCCATTCAGCCACGATTTACCGCTCGTTGAAACCAATAACAAGCGCGAATGCCGAAATGTATAAAAAAAGATGGGACGGAGGGAGAAAAAACATGATGGCATTGGCAATTTGGCATCAACATAAATATTAAAACCTGGATCTAAACACCATTAGCTCGAATGATTCGTTTGACTGGTGACATATCTAAGCCCGAGGGAGAATAGTATGTTGTTTTAGTTGCGAGCCGTACCTAGATGGAACAAGCGTCTGCTTCGTACCGCAGTACCGGCAAACAAAAAGGGTGAACTTCGAAGCATGCAACAACTTTTGTACCTGCATCGACTGGCTCGGCGATTGTGCGGGACTAACGTGTGGTTCATCTTTTGTATGATTATGCACGATACTCAATGGAGATTAGTTTGATAGTCATGGTGGAAGTTCTAGTCAGGAACGCTGCCAGCTTTAAGGGGGTGGCAATAGTGATTGTATACATCGACGAATCAATCCATAAAAATTCAGACCCCCAAACCAATAAATTGGGGTAGCCTTGTATTGTCTGGTCTACTATCTAAGCAGCTATTCGATCGCTCTCTCGTATCTTTGCATTTTGGTACCTTTCGATCAAAAAATGGTTTCTGGTGAGATCGATACGACATTATCAATCGCGGATTCGCTGCCCTGGACGATGAGGTAATATGTAGTAGCCATGTACTGTATAAATCGGCAACCCCGTCTACGAAGTGTTCGTAGGAGAAAAAACAGACCAGAATTGACCACTGGCGAAACTCTTCGATAATTCAATTGTTCCATTTCAATTCAGAGAGTTAAACCCCTATGTAGTATGATAACTGAACAATATCTAAGAATCGTTTAATACCTACAATTCCTATAAATTCATTTGGAATCAATTGTGCCCTCTCTCTTTTCGCCTAGGGACGTATAGCTCGTTCAGTAAAACCTAGAATCAATTAGAATCATTAGCAACAAGAATCACTCTTCTCTTCCACGTACTGAAACAAAAGGATTGAAGCCAGTCAGGTAAAGGAAGCCCGTTTTACGATCGTTAGAATCCGTATTGCTCCATCCGAAAGTTTTTGAAGACAGAACCTGTGCGACGCTAGCCAGAGATGGATAAAGATGCTATCTTCACCCCACCAGAAAAGGATGCATAAAGGGGTAGGAGGGCATTAGCCTACTTTTCGTGCGGAAAATTGGCCTAAAACGTCAAACCGCAGAGCATAAGCATAAGCATAATGCAGAAGCATGGGATGAGCGGCTCACGTGTTCCGCTCCATTGAGAAGTTTCTCCGATTTTCTCTCGAGAGCAGATGTTGATCTTTTGTCAGTGTTGCGCGTAAGCACAACTCAATCGTGATACTTTTGAGTTTTGACAGGAGACGGGGACAAGACGCTATTGCGAGTTGAACGGAGAAGAACCGAAGAAGTCGAGTAAACCGAACCCCATAATATTTCACGAGACCCTTACAATTATGAGGCCATCGCGGCCATCTATCTCGCCGTGAACATCCCTGGTACGCACGGCTATGGATATCCTATGCAAGACATGGTGGTGGCTTTTTCTACCTACGCCACTCTCACCGGGATTTTTACAGTCAAAAATGATTTGGAAAGTAGCACCGCTGTGCCGGCCCTGAATTCCTCTCCGTTGTCCTTTCGTTTTCAAGCATTTTCAGCCCGAAAATTCGCGAGATCTACCTAGGTATTCTTTGTGGTAGGTAGCATCGTTAGATCCACAACACTATCTGCTAATCAGCTTACTACTGCGCCAAAAATAACCACACAACTACTCAAATATATTATGTCATATTCTTGTTCCTCTTTGATGCATAACACCGCTAGCAGAACATAAGCTGGGATTCCCTATTCTA